CTGTGCAATCATGTTTGCATTCTCAAGACCTCGCTCATCCCGCCTTTGCGCTCTACGCGTGCATGCATTGCTTGCTTCGACCCGAATTTCCTGATTTTCATCCACATGCGTTTCTAATTTGCGCGTAATGTGTCTGATAGATCTCTTGATAGGTTTCTATTCAGTCATATTGAGTAAGCAATTAGTTTAAGGTTTGAGTTTAGGTTTCTTGATATGGAGGTTCATTGTGTTTGCAGGTTCATGTATTCCCTACTGCTATAGCCGCGCATTGTTGCACACGTTGCCCAACAATGTAATATGCTAGATCTCATTCCAGGAGATCACGTCTTCTTCTGAGTGTAAACTCACAAGGATTATCTTACTTTTAACCAAATGGCATGACAAGCAAAACCTTTGCAAATCCATATCCGCTTGGAGTGGTTCGGAAATCTAGAATATGGTTGTATGAAGGTCTATATTCTGGAAGTTCTTGGAAGTTAATTCCATTCTCAAAACGCACACCCTGGTTCTACTTTCACAGAGAATTCAATCCTCAAAATAAACAAATCGACGACAACCTTTGTCTTACAGTCCTGCTCAAAGAAAAATTTTTTTGTTCACAAATCATTTGCAGAAGAAAACAAAACCATGAACTAATTTGTCATCTCCTAATACATAATTCATTGGATCTCCGTTCATCGCTGATACGATCTACTCCTACGAAGCACTTGTATGGCTTTCTTCGTGTTCAAATTCTCTCTCTGTCTTGCATAGATTGTCTGTTGCTCCTTGTGATGCAATTTTCTTTGTCTTTGACTTCGAAAGAATCCTTCTAGTCGCCCTCAGAATCTAGTTTTCAGGCTTCTCGTGTTCTCAATCTCCCATCTGGAAGAAATTCCAGCTACTCTCCGCACCACTCTCGAATCCATTCTTTACTCCGACTTAGGCAAATTTTTGTCATCCGTCAAAATACCGTCACCGTTGAATAAGTTTCAAATTTTTTACTGAGATTACACAAAAAACACTGTCAAAACTGCCACACACCACGACTAGTGTAATCCAGACCTCATTAAAATTGTTATTTGCCACTTTTGCCACCTTTTCGTTAATTGTGGCACCCAAAATTTCTTAAAAGTGGCATTTAGCATGACAAACAAGAGACATAACTAGTTATTATCAGACAAAACACACAGACACGAGATGTAATGTGGTTCATACTTGGGAGAGCTACATCCACGGAGATAGCTGACACGTGAAATGGTAAATGGTAAATGGTAAATAGATCAAGCCCGTGGGACCCAAAGGGTCAAAAGGCTAAAAAACACAAGAAGTATATTGATAATACACACATCCTCGTATTAAATACTCCAGAACCGGTGATATTACTTTTTATAGATAGTTAGGACCTTATTTGTTAACCGGAATTAATCTCAACAATAGTTTAAAAAAAAATACAAGAGCAAATTTATAAAATATTTCATGTGAATGTTCATCTATGTGTAACTATCATATGAGAAAAAAACATATTCTTATTAAATTTTTTTCATAAAAGTCAAATTACTACAATTGAGCAATTTACATACAATTTTGTTGTTATAATTTGTGCAAAAAATAAAAATTGATTAAACTAAGAAATATCAAATACATATTGTGATTATATAGACTAAGTTAGATTTTCACCTAATTATGTTTGATTATGCAAATCTAAAACCAAGGAGTTTGTTGTGGGCGTCATGGATTGTCATATTTCCAATTTTAAAAATCTTGCTTTTTTTTTCCAAAATGAATAGTAATTTGAAATAATTCAAATGATATTTTAACATTATGAAAGTTTTTCTTAATTTTATAGAAATTTCGAAATATATGCTTCATTTCAACTACTTGCTTATGAAGTGACTCGAATCTTGTAGAGATTAGGAAGATTATTAAGCTCAAAATTAATGCCTGAAGATTAAAAATGTCGTCATTATTTTTATAGTCTAAAATCATTTTAGCAATCTTCATCATTTTCAAACGTTTTTCAATATTATTCCCAAATTGCAGTTTAAAATTTTTCACTAATTTCATTGTCAACATAACCAATTTTTTAAGTGTTTATCACTTGTGTTAGTTGTTTCTGTCCACTCTTATAAAATTTGAACGTTATACGGATTAAATTAGATATTTTACATCATCATGGTCATAAATTTCAAAAAAAATAATAATATTAATCTCAATAAGAAAAATGAATTTTTGATGATCACTTTGTAATTTATTATCACTAAGATTAATATTAATACGCATTATTTATCCACATGAAATAGATTAATGACAACATGTCATTAATCTATCTAAATTTTTGAGAAGCATATTTGTAAACATGTTGAAAAGTAAACTTGAAGCTTCTAGATATTCAATTTGCCACAATGTCATATTTGGACTTAATCTCATAAATCAAATTCTCTTACAAGTTAATTTGATTAAATCTAACAGATAATCAAAATTTTCAAAATTAAATTGGCTTGAAGTTTAATACTTGATAAAAAAGCTAAAATTATTATGCTCAGCCATATTTTTTTTAAAAAAATTTGAAATATATATTTGATAGCTAAACTTTATTATAACTTTCTAAACTTAGTCATGACTAAGATGATCATAGTCATAACTTTGATTAAGTCTACATTAATTTTACTCATATAAATATTCATCTTATAGTATGGGTTCTGATGGATAATATCATCATATATATCTCTTGTTTAGGAGTATCAAAATTACATCTCACTAAATTTTTTTACAAAATTCAAGCTTAGATCTCAATTATACAATAGATTTCAAATTACACATAGAAATAATTATCCAAGAGTATCAATGCAAAAATTGTGATTTATCTCAAAAGAAATTACGAGAACACAAATGTTTTACTAAATAAATTTAACTTTGTATTTTTTAGAGGTACATTCTCTTTTATATAAAATTAAAGAATAATCCTCGTATCATTTAGACATGAGTTAATTGCTACTAACTCTATGTCAATTGGTACAAAAACAGATTTTTAGTGTAAGAACTTCAATTGTGTCGTTTAAAGTTGCAATCAATTATGCTACATAGTGGAAATATTACCTGTAGTAACTAACTATGGTAAAACTGATTAGAATGAATTGAGAGGAGAGTCACAATAATAAATTAAAGTCAACAAATACTTCACTTTTAAGACCTTTTAATAACCTTTTATTAATAAATTTTAATTATATAATTTTTTTTTAAATGTAAAGTGAACTTTAAGTTCACTTTACATTCTACATTAAGTCTTGATTTTTTTTTCCCAATGTGGAATTTTGAAATGCATCCATTTAAACTTATTAAGGTTTTCAAGCCTCAAATAATTTTTAATGCGATCTTAGAAATGATTTTATGCTCCAATTTTTTTTATTATGCTATTTTTTAAATAATTAATATTTATTTCATTTTCTTTCTTTATAAAATAATTCTTCTTTTGTCAAAATAAATCTCTGAATACATTTATCTATTAAATTTTATTTTAATTTTAAATTTTTAAAATTAAGAAATATAATCATTTTAGGTTAGAAAGAAACCAGCACAAGCTGTTAACTTTATAAAATGAGAGAGAAGACACAATTATAGAAATTTACCCAGAAGCATCAAGTTTAGAAGGATGAATCAAATGGATTGGTTTCATTAGCATCACGTATGAATCAAACATATGATGCGCACGTCAACTATTGTAGCTGATTTATTCAGGTCACACATTCTGTAAATAGCATGAATATCCAAAGTATCACTAACTAAATTTGATAATTGGAAGATAGATTATGTCATATAATGAAATATGTATACAGATGGATTCAAGACACCTAAAGTAAGCTTCACAATAAAGTGATATATTTGCACTTATCAGCATAGAAGATTTATTAAAACGAGCCATGGCGTACGAGCTAAACCAGTTAAGATTAATTTCGAAACCATATATTCTCCTGGAATAGAAGAAATTGCCGTATTACATGTTCTACAAGGTTTTGGAAAATAATGGAAAACTGCTCTGATAAAGTGGTTCCCATTTGCCGAAAAATTGTGTAAATCGGTAACCCAAACAAGAAAGGTGGGTATTTATAAAAAATCTGCGAACATTGTGATTGAATTTTTGGGAATGATGATTTGACGTATTGTTCAGGGTATCATTTTTATGGGTATAAATAATCAAATTTTCTGAGTTTTTGGTAAAGTAATGGTCCGTGGTATTTCAATTTTTTTCAAAAATGTTAATTTCCGGAATAAATAGAATTTCTTGAAAGTTATACACAAGACCTGATAAACTTTCCTGGATTGAAGCAGAAGAGTTCAACTTCTCAATAGCCCGGATCTACATGGACAAACTGCTCGTTCACGTGGTGTAAGCTGCGGGGGAAAGAAGGTTACGGGTTGCCTCCGTGTCCGTAAGATTCCAACGAAAAAACTCAAACATTGATTACCGCCACGGAGCAATCAATGGGGGTACCAAACATGAATCGATAGAACCGGGTACAAACGAAGTAAGCCATTGGCAGAATTCTGACTTTTTGTGTGCTATGAAAATTAGCAAACCAAAACAAAGGTAGGCAATTGTGACTTTCACGCCTCTTGGCGTAGTTTGTCGCTAATTTCCGGTTACGCTTTCCAGGCTTTGACCGGATTCCAGTATCTAGTGAATTCATATATTCGTTAAGTTTTGTTGGATTCAGGAACTGAGTTTGATCATGCACTTCAATTTAGGGTTTAGGATTGTTGTGTACTGAAACTTGAAGCACCGGATCAGCGATGATCATTTCCTGCGCTATCGAACAATGATGAACGTGCGAGGAAGGGGACGGGGACGACGAGGAAGTACACTGGGTTTCCACGATGTCCGTGACAAGTCGGGTTAATGAAGAATTATGATATCGACCATTCCCAAGAAACTGGGGTCCTGTAACGGCCTCCTCAAGAAGGCCCAGATCTGAGTAATCGACGACGTGGCATATATTAAGTGCGATTGTTTCGAAAGGTGGAAAAGAGATCGTTCCTAATTGGATTCTTTGCGTCCAACAGCTGGCTTGCATATATTGGCTGTAGCACAAGATTTCAACCGCATTTCCCTGCTCGTTGACACATCTCATTTTGCCGCGCTGACGATGCCCAGTGCCTTTGAGAGGCATGGTCAAGCTTCAAATTCGTCGACGTTGGTGATGCGTTTCGAGCAGTGCTGCTGAAGTCAGCACTGTGTGATCCTACCTCTTGTTTGTTCGGCGGGTTGATCACGTAACTCTCTAACACGTTAACGCGTTGTCTTCACCTGAATTTGCCCTTTTCATCGTAAGCAATCAAATGTAAAAATGTCATGCTGTATCGCCGCATCAGACTGTAATTGTTTTCATGTGGTTTTCTTCTTACTTATCGATTGCGGCCTAATAGCGGCTTCAAGTGGCTTCATGGACGAACTCGGGGGTTGTGGTGGTCTCTCAGCTACTCAGAAGTCAGTATTCTCCAAATGCGCGTCAGTGCTTCTCATCTGATTTGAAATGCGCTACCGTTATTCGAGGGGGACTTTTGTGGTTTCATATGCTTGTGTTTGGCCAGTTGGTCATTGAGATGAAAGCACTCCTTGAAATTCCTGACCCGAAGACTTTTTGGCCACTGCTAGAGTGATAATATCGATGGAGTCTGTTTTAATGCGTAGCGTAGTAGTTCTCGTACTCTTGTAGCATGCTACGTTGTTACTCAAAATCAGACACGGTAGTGAGTTACAAAACTCTTTTGCCAAAGTAAAGCAATCAGAATTCAGATCGAGAACCTCTCAAAATCTGAAACCGTCAAGCTGTTCTTTGAATTTACTGCGAAAACCTCGGAAGGAGAATGTTCAGAACAGGAATATCTGAAGAAAGGCATGTTATATCACAACTAATGATAAAACAGCCCAGCTTTACTTGGAGTCATGCAGAAGAGCCAGTTCTAGACAATGAATAAACTTTCACTGGCAATCAAAGTTTACAAATTGGTCATTCGCGGCTGATTTCTCGAGCATGCTCTCTATATACTACGATCACTGGACAGTCCAAGACTAAATTGATAATACGGCTGGCATATTTAAGGCAATTTTCTGTGTTCGCCGATCAGATTGTCCAAGTCGTTCTTCCGCAATGTTTATCTGATGCCTCGTAACCTGAAGCCAGCCAATTACCGTTGTGGTCATCAGCAGGTGGAAGAGGAGTCCAGGATGGCTGCCAAACGAGTGTCAAGAGCCCTAGCAGTGATGCTCCTGGTGCAGTCCCTTCTTGGAAGAGTAGCGGCGGACGCTCGACAGGTGAAATGGAGAAATGCTCACGCGACGTTCTATGGTGGAAGCGATGCATCAGGAACTATGGGTGAGCAAAAATTCGGCTTGCATTATTAATGGTATAGAGATGGGTTTCGCATTTTTACAACCAAGAAGTCCTGGGCATGAGAGTTGATAGGCTGTGCTCATCATGTACAGGCCAGCCACGACGTATCAACCTCATGACTCGTGCCCAGGAAGTCCACGGGATGTAGAATGTGACATTAGCTCGTGCATGCAGTTGGGAAAATCTGGATAGCGCTCAAAGATCCACATATCATTGCACACTGTTAAGGAAAGAAAAGCTTTCAGGTTTCCAATTCCGAGCCATCTAATTGTCTGCTGCTCGAGAGCTCTCAAAAAGGTTTATATTACCCTCCATTAGTGGCCTGATTTGAGTGTTAATAAAATTCCTTGCAGGGGGGGCGTGCGGATACGGTAACCTTTACAGCCAGGGATATGGAACGGATACTACTGCCTTGAGTGCTGCTCTGTTCGACAATGGAGCAAAATGCGGAGCATGTTTTGCAATAACATGTTACCGATCAAGGTGGTGTTTGCCTGGCAAACCTATACTCCAAGTTACGGCCACCAACTTTTGCCCGTCGAATCCCAACCTACCTAATGACAATGGCGGCTGGTGCAACCCTCCTCGTCGCCACTTTGACCTGGCGCAACCTGCCTTCACTCAGATTGCTATTTATGAGGGTGGTATTGTCCCAGTGCTGTTCAAAAGGTTAAACATTCATACAACAAGGCCATGCATCTTCTCTTTTGAAAATCAAAGATTGAATCGATTTCATGAGTAGTCTAGACGGTAAGTTAGTTCACAGGCATCAACTTAAAATGAACCATGCCAAAGACCTTCTTGAGAGTTCCAACTGTACCATGCCGTGCTTTTCTTGTGTTTCTTGATATTGACACAGGTGACTGTGACTGCGCAGAGTTCCCTGTAAGAGAAGTGGACCAATTCGATATACAATAAACGGGCAAAGGTACTTCAATCTGGTACTTATAAGCAACGTAGGAGGAGTAGGTGATGTGAGCGCTGTCTCAGTAAAAGGTGCTAACTCAAACTACTGGGAACCGATGAGACGGAATTGGGGTCAGAACTGGCAGAGTGACACCATTCTCGTCGGGCAGTCTCTATCCTTTCAGGTGACTACCAGTGATGGCAGTACTGTAACCGTACTGGATGCGGTTGCTTCTAACTGGGAATTTGGTCAAACATTCGAGGGCGGTCAGTTCTCATGAAGTTAACGCCTCTATCTATCTTGATGTGTCCTAAGCGTTCCCACCCGTTATCGATGTTGATCAGTGAGGATTCGCTCGCCTCACTGCAGAACTGATGAACTGAAGTCTGTCGTGCCACGCCCGTGTGCCTGTTTACTAGTGTGAAATATTAGCGTATAGTTCCTCACCTCAGCCAAATTCTTTGTCCCTTAAGCGGATGCGGTTCTGCTCTAGAAGTACGAACATTTCCGAGAGAACCAGAGGGGTGGGAGCTCCTTCTTGTCTTGTTTTGGCCTGGTTTATAATTGCTGGGCTTCCGATCACGTCCTTAACGATAGAAACCAGAGCATTCAGCTCACTTTGTTCTGACTTAATAGAGAAAGGTGATATCATGCAAACGTCAAGGAACACCCGCAATAAAGCAAGTCAAAATGGTCTGAATTTAACAAGGCCGCTGACGTAGATGTAGAAAAGGTGTCGTCGACTTCTGTTGACAGTAAATTGAGGTGGTCAGAAAATTCAATGTGAACTGTTTCGATGAGATTTGTCACGACATGTTGACAAGTTGATGGTCTCGCCTTATACCTGGACACTAGGTATATTGCTCACAATTTATTCCTATTTCATCGATGCCGCAATCGATGGGATTATAGAGACAGATTTTGTAAATCTGCCAAACAAGGTAGACGACCTTGCATCAGAAGCCTGATGCAATAATTTTGAACATTCTATCTCTCATCTAAGCTATATTTATGACTATTTATTACACTTCTAACTTTGGCTCCCACCTAGAATTCGGAGGTACGGCCGGCCTTTTTTCTCACTGGACCATATAAGTAAAAGCGCCTGCATATGTATTTAGATATCAGTTCTTTTCTGGAACATGGCACACACGCATGTACTTGCGCTGAGCGCCACTAAACAGGAACTGGCACGCAAGCGTCGCCAACTTCAACCTTGTCCTCTCTTATCCATACGCCTCTTCCGTGCATTATTATGATCTTTCGGAGATTAACTAACCTGCTGGCCGCGATGTGGATGAGGTTTCACAATCTCTGACTTTCCACTTCTCTTTTTCCTTCCTTTTTCCGCTCGCGAAGAGTTTGGCATTTTGCTCAGCTTGCTCAGGTTCGGAACTTTTGTATCAAACTATTTTTTCTTATACCATGTATTCCTTGTAGTTAATTGACATTTCATTTAAGACAATTTTTTCTTCATATGTTTATTATCTTCATTTTCATGGTTCACTATTTTTCACGCTGCACAGCGTCATTTCCTGTTTGTATACGTTTTGGCGTGTTCTTTGCCGACGGCAACTTTCATTTTCGAAGTATATGACATAATATTTACGCCTCTTCAGACTCGTTACAACAAATTAGATTTCACAAACAAAAGTACCATGGTTTTTCGACAAAATATTGCTAGACAGTATGACATGGAATATATTCAATTGTGCCGAAGAAGCAGAACATTCAGGATAGTCGATGATACATTTAAGAAATGACAATATATCAGACAAGTGCCTAAGTTTTTGGCGAGATTGTAGTAACCAAAAGATTGTAACTCTTCATACATCAAAACCGCTTTTTTACACAGGTTGTTGGAAATGTCAACTACTCTGATAGGAACAGACTGGACTGTAAAATTCCCTAACCTATCTATTTTGTCGCTTCCTGAACCTCATTCTCTCCAATGTGGGAAAATACACCGCGCACCGATAAAACCGCCATAGTCAAGATTTACTATGCATAACGTGGTTGCGCCGCGAAGCCCGCGGCGGCCAATTTCCGGGATCAAAATTGTAGTGACTTCTTTGTGAGAGATTCACCTTTCAAAAAATTTAGACTACGTGAACAAAGGCACCCGAAGAGTTGGCACGGCCTCGAGCGATTGCAACATCTCGCACGACAGCTTCAAATCTTCAGTAAGGTCAATCTTGCGATCGGAGGACGACCACGAGAAATTTTGGAGCATCCGCGCAATCCACAGCTGCACGACTGACAGTGCGAGTTCTCTACCGGGACATATCCGTCGTCCCGAACCGAAGGGAGCCAGTCGCAAGTCTCCTCCTCTAACATCTATGGGTTTCCCACCTTCCCGCCCGATGAACCGCGAAGGGTCAAAAACGTCGGGATTTACGTGATATTTCTGATTGCGTAGTATGGACCACATGTTCACCATACATGTAGTTCCCTTGGGGACGTCGTAGCCAGCCAAACTCACGTCCTTGGTTGACAACCGCGCCCATGACAGAAGAGGACCCGCCGGATGTAATCGGAAGGTTTCCGTTATGAATGCAACCAAAGATGGCAACTTATCAAGATCCTTGTTGTCCACCATTCGGCTGCAGCCGACGGCGGCGTCGAGTTCGGCATGAATCCTCTCTTGCCATTCTGGGTTGAGAATAAGCTCCGCTACAGCCCACTCGATGGTTACGGCGATGGTATCCGTGCCGCGGAAAATCATTTCCTACAAAATACGAAAAATTAGCACTCCAATCTAAGACAGCTGAATCAGGCACGCCAATCAATTTGAAGATCCCACGAGTATGACAGCAGACTAAAGTTCAGGTCGGGGCTCGGTTGCTTACCCACAGAACAGCTATCATATCGCACTCCGAGAGCTTATCTTCCCCTTCCAGAGCTAGTAAAATGTCCACCATGTCCACGTCCGAGAAGTCTCGAGTGGTCGCCGATCGGTGCTCCTCAATTATCTCTCGGACGTAAGCTTTCACTCTCTCCACCAGATTTCCGAACTTCTTTCCAACATCGAACATCTCGAAGAACCTGAGCCCGGGGAAGTGGTCGGCGTAATTGAAGGCTCCCAGGGCCTCGAAGCACTCGCGGATCATGCCTTCCAGCTTTTCAGCTTGTTCGTTGGCTCCGAATTCGTACCTCTTCCCGAAGACGATGCGCGTCATGTTGTTTACGGCCGCTCGCTGAAGGTACGAGCGAAGTCGCACGGGCCGATTGGTATCCATCTCTGGGCTGATTCCTGCAGCTGCAGCGATCGCGTGGAGCATGCGAGAAGCTTCGAATTGACGCACGGGCAAGTTCGCCTTGATCTGCCTCGGGCAGAACAGGCACGTCGCAGCGATCTTTCTCAGACGCAGCCAATACGGCCCGGGTGCAGCGAAGCCCATCGCCCTGTCGAAGAGCAGCATCTCGGCAGCTTGCTTCAAAGGCCTCTCCTGGAAAGCTTGGCCTCGCAACATTTCGGCAGCGACGTCGGGGTCAGATGTAACGACGACGGGAGTGCATCCCACACTGAATGCCATCAATTTCTCGGCCTTGAGCTCCTTTGCCAGGTTATCGAGCTTCCGATGCGCCAGTCCCTGCATGTACGTTGCGCAGCCTACGATAGGAATCCCTCTGGGTCCCGGCGCAATGTGCAACTTCTGCAGACGAGCTCTGGTCCAAGCAGCTCCGCCCTTACCGTACCAGCCGATGAGTACAGCGCCCGTGGAAATGCATGCAATTGCCATCATCGATATGACCCATGCAAGTCCGTCGCCCTCCCCGTGAAAAACCGCTGAATTCTTCTCTCGCAGGATCGTCGACAACGTGGCCAACACACTGAGAGAGAAAACTGAGGCCACCGAGACGAGTAGCACTTCCGCATGCTTCAACCCCTGGGATACAACGCTAGCTGAAAAGGCCAGAAACGCAGACGTGAATCTTTGCGAGAGGGCGCTTTTGTGCGAGCGTGAGCTTGTGGAGCCCAGCTCGATCCCTCGCGAGCTCATGATCGGGTTATGCGATTCCCTATCCATGAGCGGTACCGAATCGAACAGTCGAACACAGCCGACTATATAGAACCCCAGAATCGGCAACGAGCGAGCGGAAGCCCGGTCCACAGCCGGAAATAATTCGCTGAGAGGGAGGTCTCTGAGAGCTGCGTCTCCCTCTTTATAGCCGGGCGAGGAGGGTGGACTTTCGAGCGGGGGGGGGGGGGTGGGAAGGAGGGAGGGAGGGAGGAATGGAATGGAATTATGGGCGGAAGGGGAGGCGCCTCCGGTGAAGTGAATAGCTGCTGAAGCTGGTAAGCAGTGCAGTAGACTGCGGTTCTCGCAAAGACAAACAGTGAGCGCAGTGGCAACACTAAATACAACTTAACTCAGACGGTTAGCACTCAGTAGAGTTGGGCGATCGGACTGAGATGCTGTTAAGAGGCGAGGCCAGAGGCATTATAAAGGCGGAAGGCGGCTTCGTCGTCCCGGCTCCCGCGTGGACGCCTCGCTCTGTGCTAGAGCCTGGGCCTGAGAGGCCTGAGAGGCTGAGCCGCTTGAGGCCTGAGGAGGTTAGCTACGTAGGGTCCCACCCAACAGACGGGACGGTTACTCTGCTCTGCGACTGTCTGACATTTTATAGAGAGAGAAAAACTGTCAGAGCTCTCGCAGTGGCTTCCCTAGGACACCACCGTAAGTCCTCTGTCATGTCTCGATCTGGGCTGTGTAGAATGTACAAGAACACCGGGTACAGGTACTGTACTGTCGGTGCCTGGGCGAATTTGCTCTAGAAATTTGAGCAGAGCTGAGGCCTCGATCGGGCTCCGCAGGGGACAGAGTCGAATGTTGTGAAAACATTTCTCTCGAATCCATGAGTTTTCGTGAAGCCCGTAGCAGTAAATCTCCTGTCAATCGAAATCCAGGACAGGCGCCTGCCTAATTGGAGACTGTTTCGTTGAGATGCGATGAGGTCAGTGGCGAGGCCATACATTAGGCATGTTCTAGACCTGCGCTGCTGTTATGCCTTACACTTGCCAGAAGCTGGTACTTTCGTTGCAACAGTGTTGCTTCAGCGGATCAACAGTCCAGCCACTATTTTTGAATTTTCCGCAAGCCCTCGAGAGATCTACTCCTATGCGGAAAAGGAAGCAGGATAATACTCAGGATCACAAATGAAAGGCCTCCATGGCGGTACGGATGAGATTTACTGAAGAACTAGCTCTGTACTGCAGATTATGGTTGTTGCCACCACAATAGTAACCGGTGTGATTTTGCTCAATATACATTGTGACAACAAATGGGTCCGAACTCCCACACTAAATGTATTTTGAGAACCTCACCCACTTGGCCGCTTCTGTAACGACATACTGTTTGCTGAAGTAAGGAAACACACAGGCAGGCTTAAGCGACGGGCGCTTGCAGGATCAAGGACAAGATAAGGTCCGAAGTTGTTAGGCGAGGAGCAACGCGAGAAGCGAGCAGAATGGCGGAATAACAAACCAGTTACGTGGTCTGGCTGGAAGGAAACCATCGCATTCACTCGAAACATTTATAACGGTGTGGTAGGCGAAATGATTTGCGAGCTCTACGTACATCTTGTCGTTGCGAACCTTCTCTCCCTACCAATGATTAGCGATACGCATGTCACCCTCTTCCGTCTGTAAAATGATGTAAAATTCGTTCACAATAGCCCTGCGCACCTCCCTCTCGTTTAGTATCGTCTGGTCTCGGAATCTCCTATCGCTGCTCCGCGACTGGGCCTCGGCTGGCCTCGGCTGGCACCGCGCATTTGGGATTTGGGTTCTGGGTTCTGGGTTTTGGGTTGGGACATGCAGCAGCACCGCGGGCGGGCTGCTAAACCCCCGCCGCTCGCTAATTGTAGTTGGGGCGCTGGCGGAAAAGCGTTCTCGGGAACACGATGGAGCCCGACTGGGGCCGGGGGCTGGCGGAGGTACGAGGTCACAGATGGCGAATATTTGTCCACATCCCCATGAATGTGATTATCGTTTTAAACTGGGCGCGCACGCCGGTGTTGTCGCATGGCAACTTGCGGGATTACACATCGCATCACGTAGCGGAGTAAAGGATCATTTCGGAGAAGTGCGCTTGTTCGGCTTCGCGTTCTGGAGATTTCTATCGGGTTGTTATAGCTCTCCCCGAGGCCCAGCTGCTGCTTGTCGACAGTGCTACTGTAGGAAAGGCGGAGTTTTTGTTGTGTAGCCAAATTTCGGTGACTAGACGCTAGCCCCGGCACCCACTGATTTTCTAGTGCATATATCTCCTTCCACGTCCTTGGGAAAGAGAGCGCCTCGACAGTCGGGACTCAGTCCCCACCAGCGAGGGAGGGAGGGCGAGGGAGGGCGAGGGAGCGGGGCCGGGTTCTGTGGGCAAGCGCCGTTCTCGATATTCCACTTCCTTGCCAGGGCGCGCGGGACGTAGGGAACTCGTTCCAATCGATTTCGAGGTAACTCAAGCCATCAACTCGCGGACTGCAAGCTGCGGCGCTTTGACTGGGAGTGCGTTAAATCCGCATTACATGATATGATTGAGGGAGGCGGGGGAAACCAGTGCCACAGCGGACTCATAATAACACGGGCTGCGTTCATGAATTATATACGTTCATCTACTGAAAGTCGCAGAAGACGCTGGATGATAAGTGTACATGGTTTTCCGAGGTTGTTTTCTCGCATGCTTTGGTAAGGTTTGCGCACTCAATGGCCTCCTTCACAGATCACAATGCTGAGCTAATATCAAGCATGTGGAGGTCCTGTTGCTGTCACTGGCCTGACTAATGACAGGTAGGTTCTAGATGGTCGCACCAAGTGGGGCTCTCGGCTGTGCTGGGATCCGTCTCATCACTGTGCAGCTCGGTTCGTTCCGAGTAGTAGGAGGAGGAGGAGGAGGTAACAGTTGCTCAGTGTGGATTCGACAGGGCCCTACATTGTGACAGGCCAAACCAACTCGAGAGAGAGTACAATCTGATGAGGAAAGAACAGGTTGCATACAATGCAACCTCTACATGAGATGGTTGGTGAGAGCCAGATTTGTTTGCCAACCCAAGGCGAGTATACTACAACTTCTCTCTGCCTCTTCAATGGACGATTTGCTTGGGAACGGGTGCTCCCCCCTCGGCCCTGCTCCTGCCGCTGCTCCTCCCCTTGCTCCGCTCCGCTGCTCCTCGTCGCGCCTCTGCTCTCTGCTCGCTTTCTCTCTTTCTACTAGGCGTTGCCTGTCCTGGGCCAGCCCTGGCCTGCCAGCAGGCGACGCAGGCAGCATCAGGCTCACCAGCATCTTTTGTGCGCGATGGGGTACAAAAAAGCTGAGTGCTGCTGGCGGGGCTGTTCGTCTGGCCATAACAACCACCGCTCCGCTCCAGACGTAGTTTGCATGCTTGTATAACGACTGCGATTTGTCTAGCGAGTGCTTTCGGAACATAATGGATGACTGTGCACTCCACTCGGGCCGGGCTGGCTCGCTCGCTGGCTCCCTTCATCACAGCAGCTGACAACCAACCAACCCTCGTCCGCAGGAACGGAAGGGACCTCATCCTCTCGTACACACTACGTACGCGCCTTCGTCAGGCACTTCGCTTCTCTTCGCTTCGCTTCTCTGCTCTTCTCGTCTCTTCTCTTCGCAGCGCGCAAGCCTCGCGCTTCGTCACGCATAGAAACTGCGCTGCGTACAAAGGGCTGCGTCCCTGGGCTCCTGGGCTCCAAGCTGCGGGCTCCGGTTCGGCCCGCGCGTCCACCTGCTCGCGCGCTCATTCCGCATCCTAGTAATCTAGTAATTAGTTCCCGTTTGGATTAAAAGCTGCCGCTGCTGCTACTATACTAGTTTTATCACCTTCCACCGCAACGACCGGACGAGATTGGTGTGCGTTACAGACGGAGGAGATGGCCACTGCGTACCCTGCAATAAATCATTAATGCTGACGGTGTCGGAATGTCAGAGAACGCAGCGTGCCCAAAGGTGTGAGAGAGTATTGATGCCAAGTCAGAAAGGCAGCCAGGGCCAACGTCCTCCGGCAGGGCGGGTCGGGCCGGGCCAGGGCTCTGCTCGTCCTTGTCTCGTCGCCTCATCTCCACATCTCCCCGCCCCGCCTCTGGGTACTCCCCTGCTGTTGTGGCCTCGATCGCCCTCTGGGCCTTCCCTTCCACTAGTAACCGGATGAATGGATGCCGATCGCCTCGGTTGCGGCGCGGCGCTGCGCGGGGACCTCCTCCGCTTCGGCTCTGTGTGTGTGTGTGTACCTGCATTATCACATCCCGTACGGCCGCCGGCGCCGCAAGCCCGACCCCGCATAGCATTCCATCGCATCACCCCATCGCTCCCATCCCATCCATGCCGACAGCAAACGAAGGCGAGACTCCGCGAAAGAGATGACGCCCAAGGCCGCGGAGCCGCGGGCGAGGGTCGAGCACCATCCCATCCACCAGGCCTGCCAGCCATCCATCCACCCATGTCGGACGGGATCGGAGCTTGGACGGAAGTACCTTGCTCCTCAGTCCGTCGCGAGCGAATTGTCTGTTTCGGTCTATTTTTAAATTTTCGGAAATGGGACGGACCATCCCACCGGCTGCCTGCCCATCTGGCGCAGCATTGCCGATGTCCGCTCTGACATTGCACCCAGTTTGCCAGGCGACTGTTTTCCTGTCGTGTCGGCCGCCATAGGTCCTTATTTTATGCTCCTCGACTCCTCCTGTGACAATGTGCTCAGCTGCAAGTTGCGTCACTTGTTGGTCCCTCAGGCTCCGCTCGCCTCAATACAGTGCGAGTGTCATCTCTTCTCGGCTTCCCCCGCTCCTCCTCCGCAGCCCAAACTTCAATCGAACCCCGGTCAGTTCCCTCCGCCGCAAACCTACTGCCTCCACGAGCGCCGTTCCATCCCTCAGACGCAAATTCCCCGCGAGGTATTCACGTCATCTCCGACTTTGGCCATAATATCACCTGGCTTGCTCAATGCTGCCTTTACTTTGGACCGAGAAGGGTTTCGATCATTTAATATACTGCCTGTTCCACATAATCGTCTTTCCGGCATACAACTACGCTCCCTTCTAAGAATGAAGTCTCTACAGGTAACCCTACCCAGTGCCTACTCAGAAGACAAATTTAAACGTACATTTATCAGAACCCTGGTCGTGCATTATTGTAGATTTACCCAACAGAATGATCAAATTCGTCTCCATAGAACTGATTGAAGTAATTTAAGATCTCACTAAATGACTGCAATTGAAATGCCGGAGGGAATTATATACCTAGTTGCAAGGCTTTGAAGTCCAAATCCTCATCACATATAAATTCAGTTCGCCTCTTTACAAAGCTTTTGGACACGGTAGATAAAGTTCGGACTAAATTAGCAAAAGTCAGTACCCAAATGGCGACATGAGCAATTTTTCGTCTGCAGCATTTTTTTTTTAATGCCATGGCTTTCCTTTCTGAGCAGCTCTAATATCAACAACCAGAATGAGACGTATTCATTCGGTCATTGAATAACGAAATCTCTTCCAACTTATGAGCTCCAAAGCCGTCGAGGAGAATCTCGGATTAATATCGTCGGATCCATATTCTCAGTTTCTCGTTCATTGATTGAAACAACTCGCCTACATTAGCATGAGCGCAAATCTAAGAATAGGAGCGACGGGCGAATAGCGACGGCTGCTTTTGCAGATACAGTACAGTACATGGCCAATGAATGCCGAAGATTTACTATACAGTAATGAGCTCTCAAGTCAGTTAGTCTCATCGGGACCTACGCGTCCAGCCTCATGTACTAAGAAGTCTCCTTAGGAGGAAACGCATAAGCCTTGAAGCCATACGACGGTAGGAAGCAGACGGAACTAACGTTATGAGCTGATTTGACCTCGAGTGATCATACACAGCACGACCATAACTATCAGCATTGGACTTCGTGTCCACAATTAGAAGTCCTGCAGAGCAGAGCAGTGCAGCAGCGTAGCAATGCATTACTGGGGAGAGAAGGTTTTGTCTGATAGTCAGCGACTGAATCGTCATCGTCATCATCATCATCCTGAATGCTACGAGCCACTGAGTGAGCTCATGGCTACACTTGATTGGTTGTTAGAAACATTAGGTGTCGTCATTCGGAATGTCATCCATTCAATAGGTTGGTAGGTGATGGAATGTCGAACTTGCTCCTCTTGAAATGATCCAGCCAGTCCCTCCCCTGGAGACGTAACGTCTCGTCCCATTGTTGTTTCTCTCATTTTCTCTAGATCCGGCGTTGCCGAGGGTCCGGATAGATGCTGAGGAACCCTCCGTCGTGAAACACACCGCAGTACTGCTGTTGCTGCTGCCACCCCCATCGCCCATCCCCGTCCGTTTAGTCCAAGTGGTCCTTCGTCTACACGTAGAAAACTCCATCCTAGTTCCTGGCCTGCCTTCCCTTTACTTCCATGTGTTCTTGCCCTCGGCCACGGTCAGATCTGTACTCGCAGGCCCCCTCCCTCTGCTCATGGTAATAAGCAGCATCAACCAAGTCGCGAGGGAGAAACTACCGCCTACAGTACTGTGAGTCACTCTGAACCCGCCTCAGGCTCGAGGCTATGTCCTCTTCCGGCTCGCACCATCACCAGAGTTAAGAAGGTTCTTGAACTCTCATCATTTGAATGATCACTGGCAATCCAATTTCACCCGAACAGCCACAGTGCCGCACCAAAGCCAAGCCAGCCAGCTCTTCATGACACGAACCCAACTAAGGCCGCAAGAGTACAGGTCCCACTTTTCGCATCCCTTGTTGTACAACATCTCTCAACAGCATCAGCAGCAGCTACAACACATCGACTGCGGTATGGAGATCGCCTTTCAAGTGAAGCTCAGCGATGAGATCGGACAAACGGCCTTCTTGTCTAGTCATTAGGTCAGCCCGGAGATAGATAGAGGCATGCAATTCGCATGCAGCCTTGCTTGATATGCTGGCCTGTGGTACACTCCCTTACATTCATATAATTAAACATCTGTCGTCCTAGACTAGGCTGTCCCGATTGCTCGCTCGTATGACAACTAACCGACGTTCGAACAACACACTCCCGAGCCTGAGTCGTTAGGTACATGTCGCACCTCATGAGAGCGAAAACGTTAATTACATGCCCCGGCTTCCCGTTTTGTCAACCGGGAAAATATACCTACCTTATCTACCAACAATGCTATAGTTTTCGCCACGGCTGCTACATGCCCTTATCGCTATCTTCTTCCCGATTTTCTGTCTACGCTTAATCTCTGCAATCTTTTACGCCATGCCGCATCTCAGAGAATATCCCGGTGTGAAGCCAAGCGACTACGGCCATGCAGACAATCGTCCGGATTGGTTACTTCTTTCTTCATACTCTTCTACTGCACTGCTAAAGTGCGAGGGGAAAGCCTTGAGATCACTCGTGACTTACTCTAACCCCTCTCCATGTCTCCTTGTCTTGGACCTTTGGACAATATTGTTCTGGAGGAAGATTTGGCCTTAAAAGTACCAATGTTATCCTACTTCTGTTGAATCTTTAAAATATTTTGGGGCTTGATCGTCAATCACCCCGCACTGTTCATGAACACAGAAACAGCTTCAAAGGAGAGCGATGTCACACCTAAGTTCCGGACCTCTCTAGATTTGTCATTCATTTATTATTATTTTGAAGATTATACGTGTTCTTACTACAGGAAGTCATGCTGCTGTAGGTATTATTATTTAATAAATGTTGGATTGCCAAAAGTCAATAGATTGAGTCGTGTAAGTTCCTACAACCGTCGCTTGAATTAAGTCATCATGATTACAAGCCTTCTTTTAAGTTACGTATATATCTTTATACTTCCAATTGAAGACTATTCTCATGCCTAAAACTATTGTCAAATACTTCAGCCTGTATAGTCAGAGGTTTACTCTGTGATGAAAGAAAATATGGTTTCGAAATTCTTCTTTTCTGTGATTGCCAAGGATTTCAAAATCGTAGGGGGAAAAACTATCTCATCAATAGTCCTGACTTATTAACTTTATTAACTTAACTTTTTGATTTATCCTGACTTATCCATAGGGTAAATTATTTTCATTTCAATATTCATGTGCATAACAATATTTTCAGAAAATGCTTACTCATATATGCGACACAAAAGCAAAACATGTACTAGATTTCAAATTAGACACGAGTGAAAGGAAAATTGCTCAATTGTAAATGTTCACTATTTTCCAAAGAAATTAAATTTTTTCAAAGTGATAAAAATTTCATGTAAAACGGTCGCTGGTTGATCTCAAATAATTGACATCATTTCATACTAAAGATTGTTAAATCTAGTCGTATCATTTTCTTGATATACCCGAATCAAACAAAGATTCCAATATACAATGCAAATATGAACTATTCATTAATACTTGCAGATGAGCAATTGTGTTGAAAATATTTTTTTTCCTATATTTTGAAACCTATATATTTGACATAGTCAGAATTGGGTGATAAAAATTTTAATATCTCTACATCTCTATAAGCTGCAATTTTTTTTTAACATTTTTTTTTTCAAATGGTCTAACATATAAAAATTAATGGCAACTAAGTGTTAGAAGTACAAGATCATTAAAAAAAAAAAAAACTCTATTCAAACATACAGAGCCTTTACATATAGAGGCTTTAGAGCTAGAAAACATAAAACTTAAAATATCACTCACATTTTTTTTCCTTTCAAAACTGTCAAATTGCAAGCTTTTTCACATTTATTTCTTTACTTAGGTTTTTTGTAAGAAATGAAGTATTTAAGAAATATATATATGCATTATATATATCAAATATTTAGTTAAATTACATAAAAACTTGGTATCCATATATTATATTTTTCATTAACAAGCATTTAGTTTTTGAATCTCACAGTATAAATTTGAATTTCCAAAAAAAAGAAGAAATATATTTTCTATTTCCAATTCAGTTCATATTGAAAGTGAAAGTTTTCTTCATATATTTTTGTAATTACATTGATTCATATGTTTACAATTCTGTATATTATTTTTATGCATAATTTTAATCTTTAAAAATTATTCTGAACTCTTCTAAGAATGCTCTATTAAATAATAAAAAACAATACCTAGAAATACAAAGATTCATTGACAGGATAATTCTTGGAGAAAAAAATGTTCAAACTCATAATATATATCATATCTTTTACTATCTTCAGATTAAAAAACCTTTCACGTTGCAGTCTCTAATCATGTCATCAATGTAAGTATATTTATCACAATGATATGAGGTACATGAGATTGATAAGCTTGAAATTTCTATGCTTCTTGATGATTTCAAATATTAATTTTTTTCAAATCAATCTTCATTGAAAATAATAGATAACTAATAATTCAAATAAAATAGTTTTGAATTCATTGGTTCAAAATCTAGGGAAAAAACATGGGTGACCAAATTTTAGAATGATTCAAAGCCTACATATAAACAACATCTGATTTCAATATGAATTTCTTTTTAGAAGATAGAGAGTTGCAAGACACTACACGTGGACTTCATATATTTGTGGACAAGCTTTTCCATAAGCACATCTAAGAATGTTTTTGCGCGCCATTATGCATAAGTCAACCAGCTATGTTCATTGTAAAAAAGCTTCAAATTCATGAATTTCATTGAGGAGTTACAAACTCTACGATATGTGGGTGTGATGAGACTTTCATGCATGAGTAACTGGCAATAAAGTCTTAACTCTCATAAGTTATTAACCACCTTCATCCATAATGCTAGAGAAATTTACTTGATGGTACCCTAGGAAACACACAACATTTAATGGCATCCAATAGGTTTTATTTTATTGGATGGGTTCCCCTGTAGGGTCATGCGTCCCACCGTAACCAATGTTCTACTACGATTTGAATTTAGTCCTGTTGTATGCTTCAAAATTCATCTGTGATTTTAGATCTTCGCGGGAAATACTTCGGCCTCATGGTCGTAGTAATGTGGACACCTTCCTTTGAAGTTATGCTTAGCGACAAAATCAAAATTTATTGTCATCTATTCTATTACGTTCACGTTACTTATTTGATTACGCTTTTCTGCTATAAAGAGTTATAATTGTAATTATTCTAGACTAATCGTTGAAATAATGAATCCATTTATAGGATCATGATTTTTTCTCCGGACTACTCATTGCGTTTGCCAAATTTTTGATAAATCCTCTTGACTCAAACTCATATCTTATTGATACTCTCATTTCCACTCTGTGGACATTGCTGCCCTCACAGCAAAGTAATTTCTACACAAAGGTTTGAAATTTGATGTAGATTGTGAATAGATGACTGTCGCTTTTCTACGACATGATTGCAAACAAGTTGTCAAATTACTTTCTCTCACGTGAAATAGTGGCAGTCACACCCCCACGTCATAGCAAAAATTATCGGCTTATAAGATTCGACCATGGTTGACATTAGGATGCATGGCAGACGAGGAGGATCTAACGGGTAAAATGATACCTGTTGGATCCCATCAAATGTGTTGCGTTATTCATGGTTCCCATCAGGTAATTTTGTCAAAATACTATCAGATATGAAGGTTCAAAAGATGTGAGATTGAACATGAAAAATCACGCAAAAACAACAAATAATGTGGTAGAGGATCCTTGGGCTTTGTAATGTAATAAAACAATTGCCATGTATGGTCTGTGCACATGTTGCATAGACTACCCAGCTTTGGAGTCAATTACAAAGGTGAAGTGATATGAATAATCATTCAAAAATTGCAGCAAATCACAAAAGAATCATGGTCACACTAGTAGTTATGAGACCTTACTCATCCCTGAAGCTGTTATCGATATACTCCTACATGGAATAGATGTGAAATATATGTGGGTTTTAGTATTTCAAATAATTTATTCCAATTCACATTCTACCGAATCCGTTATAGCCGACTTCATTCCGTTTGAGAGGTTATTCCATACCAGAGATATTCTTTATGGAATATACGATCTTTTAGCAAAAATGAAAAGAAAAGCCTATCAAGCAATACATGAATGAAAGCAAAGAATAAAATGAAATTTAGCATGAAATGGGAAAATTTATCGCTCTTATTGTATCCATCTTCACTCAAGGTACACAATGTAGATCTTACTTCATATTCATAGAAATCATCACCTAACAAGATTTATTATCTATAAATCCATTTAATCTATCTTATTTTTTCTAAGTTAAACTCTATTGTAGTTTTATGTATAATTTTTTTATCAAATATTTAATAGCTCATTTAAATAAATGGTAAATGGTAAATAGATCAAGCTCGTGGGACACAAAGGGTCAAAACGGTGAAAAACACAAAACAAACAATTCAACTCCAACCTAGGAGAGAACCGAAAGAACCCCTAGCTAGTGCTAAAAGCACTAGAATGGTAACTAATAACATCCCTAATGTAACAACCTAAATCATAAGGCTCAAGCTGAAGCAAAGAATAAAAATTCTCAACAACAACTTTATGAGTCACTCTAATCTCTACATATCTAGTACAAGTAAGAAATACATGATCTTCATACTCAACTTTTCTTCCATCACATAGCCTACAAATCCGTTCACTCTTGTCAATGTTCAACCAACGTCATTCTTCAATCCCAAGATTATGAGATCCTGTTCTATACCTAGCAATAATATGACGTATAGAAGTAGAGATCTCCGCAAGTAAGTATACTTGCTCACAATAAACAAACATAGGATTCACATGAAATTTATAAAACTCCATTTAAGTGACTCGTTTGCTTCAAATAATGCTAAGAAATGGTAAATGGTAATAGATCAAGCCGGGGGACCCAAAAGGCTGAAAATCACAATACAAGCAACAACCACAAACAAGGTATAAGAGCCCAAAGGCCAAACCCTAGCTAGTGCCAAGAGCACTGAAATGGTTACTAATAATGTCCCTAATATAACAACCTAAATCAAAAGTAACTAACTGTAACAAATAATAGAAATTCTCTACATCTATATTATGAGCCACTCTAATCTCTACATATCTAGTACAAGTAAAAAAT